AGCCCTGAGCGCCCTCTGGTGTCCCTGGAGAGCCCTGCAGGCCAGCCTGTCTCAGCAGGTTTGTGTCTGGGCTCACCATGACTTCCCTTCACTGTGTCTCTAGCACAGTAATACATGGCTGTGTCCTCGGGGGTCACTGAGCTCAGCTGCAGGGAGAACTTGTTCTTGTTCGTGTCTCTGGTGATGGAGACACGGCTCTTGAAGGACGGGTTGTAGTGGGTGTTTCCACTAGCACATATTGTCCCCAACCAGAGCAAGCCCTTCCCTGGGGGCTGGCGGATCCAGTCCCAGCAATAACCACTGGTGATGGAGAATCCGGAGACAGTACAGGTGAGTGAGAGGGTCTGGGAGGGGGCCACCAGGCCTGGGCCCAACTCTTGCAGGGTCAGAGCAGACACAGCACCTGGGGACAAGGAGAATCAGTCACTGTCAGTCCCTGCAGTCACTCCCTCCCCTAGACCCTGTCACATCTGGGACACTCACCCAGGGGGGCTGTCACCAGTCAGAGGAGAAGACCCACAGAATCATCTTCTTCTCAAACACAGCTCTGCCTTCCCCAGAGACTCATCCCTGAGTGAGGAGACAGCTGTGAGCTCCACAGCCCAGAGAGCTTTTGACCGCGGAGCCTGAGAGGGATTTGCATGAGGCGACCCAGTCTGTTATAAGGGGAAACTTTCAGACTACTTGGACCTTCTTGTCCCATTGGAGCCTTGAACTCACACACCCTGTCTGGTGGATTGAGCACTTGCCAATGAAGCACATTGAAACAGGTCACAGGAGGCTCCTCACTTAATTTAATAATCTGTCTTAGTCAAGTTAAAATAATCACAATCATTTCAATTTCAAGTTGCTAATAAAAATCGTTTGCATTGTTTATTTTTAAAAAATTTTAATATAGGCACCATTTAGAAAGCTCATAATTATAATCATCCTTAAATTTGTTTCATATATGTCTCTCTCTAAAATAATATCCAAAAAACTGCACTTCCCAGTTCTCATTTTTTTACGTAAAGAAATTATGACATAGTTGCATCTGATAACTCTTTACAAAGTACATAGTTAATCGAAAATTTCTGTTTGAGTTTTATTTTTATTTTATTTTTAACTGGGGGGGGCACACTCAGTGATGTTTGGTGTGCTTTGCACTCCAGAATTACTCAGGGAAATGGCTGTTTCATTCTGGGCAACCCGGCGGGGGACCGGGTGAGGCCCCTTCAGCCCCAACTGAGGCACCCCAGCAGCCGAAAACCTCCAGATCTCAACTGCTGCCATGCTCAAGGCAGCCCTCCACATGCTTGGAAGGGCCTCACTCAAGAGACAATCTATCCTTGGACATGTTCCACTTTATCCCACCAATATACCAAGAGTGACGGGCAGAGGGAAAAAGCCACGTGGGTTCCGGGGCCGAGATCTCCAAGCCTACTCGGATTGGGGCTGAGCATCCTCCACCCAGATCCTCCAAATTCCAGTAGGCAGGGGTCACACCCACCAACTGGACCCCTGGCGCCGTGTAATCCCATCAGCGGCCAAGACTCAGAGACTATAAAATCCAGATCCCGGACGAGAACAGTGCAGTCTTCTGCCCCCGCGCCTGGGTGTTCCTTCCCGGGGCCCTTTGGAGGGGAGCGGGTTGAGCTTTCCTCCCTGCCACGACCAGGGCTCCGGCAGCTGAAGACCTCCAGGACCAGCCACCACCATGCTGAGACCACTCTCCGCACACATGAAGGTACTGGCAGAGGGACAAAGCCACGCGGGTTCCGGGGCCGAGACCTCCAAGCCTACTCGGATTGGAGTCGAGCATCTTCCACCCAGATCCTCCAAATTCCAGTAGGCGGGGTCACACCCACCACCTGGCCCCCTGGCGCCGTGTAATCCCATCAGCGGCCAAGACTCAGAGACTATAAAATCCAGATCCCGGACGAGAACAGTGCAGTCTTCTGCCCCCGCGCCTGGGTGTTCCTTCCCGGGGCCCCTTGGAGGGGAGCGGGTTGAGCTTTCCTCCCCGCCCCGACCAGGGCTCCGGCAGCCAAAGACCTCCAGGACCAGCCACCACCATGCTGAGACCACTCTCCACACACATGAAGGTACTGGCAGAGGGAAAAAGCCACGCGGGTTCCGGGGCCGAGACCTCCAAGCCTACTCGAATTGCTTCTGCCTCAGAGCATCAAGTCCAGTGCTCCAGAAGCTTCTTCCAGTCATAAAAGTCCCCTGCTGTAAAGACAGGGGCAAAGCCACTTGCTCCTTAGTGCACACAGGCATCCTACCTCAGCCTCTCTGGACCATTGCTCTCCCAATAAACTCTGTCATATGAGTAAGGGTTTAGGGCCCATGTGGGCGACTATGTCTCAGCAACCCTGCACTCATCAATCTTTGAGCATCTACTGACCAAGACAGATGGGCCAACTCCTTGTTCCCAGAGTCCCTGTAGTTGCGAGATAAATACATGCAGGAAGATGGGGGTCCATGCATTTGATCAATGGCCTCTTCAAGGGGTATGTTTCCCCAGTCGCAGGGAGATGCTCCTCATTTCATGCTGAAATCTCAGTAGGGAAGACAGGACATGGATCGAACTATAGGGGATTTTTTAACTCAATACATTTGAGAGGACAGGATTTTCCTGAAAATCTGGAAAGGGTTAAAAACATGCCCCCAATGTCAGCCAAAACATTTCCTTTCTTCCCGTTATTTCAAGTGTGACCTAAGGGTCCCCTGTGCGAATGTTGAACACAAGAGCATGTGTGCCTTGGGCCTCCCCTGAAAAGGAAACTGAAAGTCTTCTCCAGGGACTGAGTGAGGGGAACTGAAGGTCCTGTCTGTCCCAGAACACGGGTGCATGGTTAAACCTGGGTCAGGGCTGGAAGACTCCCCCACACTTCTGCCTACAAGGGAGCAATTCCTGTCCCAGTGCCCTAGCTGTGTGCAGCTGGGATAACCATTCTGTGCCTTTGACACTTGATGCAGGGTCTTGGAGATTGAAACAGGTTGAATTCTTGGAGCTCAGGGAATAGGATTTTGTGAGAATTCAGTAACTGAAGTCATAGGTAAAGTCCCTTCCCCCAAAAAAATACTCAAATGTGAGGATTGGTTCCAATTGCACAACTCTTAGCCCTTGTTGCTACCTTGATGTGTATCCTTCAAGCCCCATATTATGGAACAGATCATTCTGTATCTCTCCATTTTCTTCTGACTCATTCGCTCAGCATAATATTCTCTAGTTTTTTCCTGTATTGGAGAAAGTTGAGTGATTTTCAACTCAGTAAGCACGGTAAGACCCACAGTAGGTAGACAGGATTAGGACTTTTTCCAGGTGTTCCTCATGTATGTCAAATTTATGAGTAAAATGTCTTCAGAGCAATGTTCTAGACTTTCTGGATTCAGTTGGAAGTGTGTAGCACTAGGAGAGTGGATGGTGACTTGAGAACGTGGCATTACCAGGCGTCACTTGGAGTTGTCACTACACACAGGGGACAATGGGAAGACTGAGGACAGTCTGACACTCCAGAACTGTAGGTAACAGTTCAGTCACTAAGGAGCCCCATCCAGGCGCCTGCTCTGTGCAGAAGTAGGAAGGGTGCATTGAGAACAAACCTCGAAGTCTGATTCCTGGACTGCCCTGTCCCAGGAATCTGTCTACATCTTTCTTCTCTATCACACTGACAATCCAGGCTGGCCTTAAGGTCAGGCCCCTGCTTCTGTGCTCTGCACTGACCTTGTTCAGAACTTTCACCCATATTGTGCTCATCGTGCCTTCAGGAATTGAAGGGCAGTCCTGATTCATATATGGTCAATGTTCACCTCGGGGAGGGAATGAAAATACTCTCAATCAGATACAAGTATTTTCCCTGTCATTGGGTAGGATTTTCCTCACTTTTTGTAAATTGACCGTTTTGATAAATTTGGTAAAAGTTTTCAAAGTGCAGGTATGAATCTTGGATTCTGCATAAGAAGAAATGGTCATAGTCCAATGATGGAAGCACGTATATTCCCAGTAATACTGTGGTCGGCATGACTGATAACCCATCACGTATTTATGTGGTCTAGTGTGTGCTTTTCTAAATGGATATAGTAATTGGATATATGTCCTCGGTATCAATTCAGAGAACGTGATAAATTTTGATTATTTATTCCCAATTGCAAGGCATGCAGAAAATTAGTGCCTCACTCAATACCATATATTTACCAGGAATATTGGTCAATTGGTGAGGTCAGACCCAGGTAAACTCAGATGGGATTCATTACCCTGGGGTGGAGGGAGCAGCCCCTGGGGCCTCGCTCTAGAACCTGTCTGATGGTTCATGCTACTGCCAGACCTCCTGGGCACACCCCACACAGTGTGTTTGTGCTTGGGTCATGACCTTCCCCTGAGCTGAGTTTTGATGCCCTCAACATCAAGTCTACACATATCCTGACCCTGACCATTTCCTTACCACCACATGATAGGACAAATTTGACCATGGTCCCTTTCATAGAGGATCATCTCCTCCACTGTCCATGGCAGAATTCCATCTCACTAATACGGACATACAAACATGCACAGAGGGGTAGGGCTCCACAGAAACTCCAGAAGAGGCACGGGGCCAACAGCAGGAGTTTGTCTCAGAGAAAAGGATTTTTTTGCAGACACAGAATTTAAAACAAAACGTGTAACATTGGGAGTCTGCCATGCGTAAACCTACAGTTCAGGAACCTACAATGACACCAGCCCAAACTTACATGTGGTTCTTTCTGTACAATCTGGGGCACTCCACACAAAATCCTAGAAGAAAATATGAATGACTCCAGGTGTTCTAGAGGGAGGCCTTTTCTTCTTGGCTGTTGCTGAAGGACAGAGAGAGATCCTGAGCCTTTCCCTCATATGAAGCCTGGCCCCGTGAGCCCCATTCTGTGTCTCAGACCCTGACTCTCTGAGGAGGAAGTCAGGAGGATCAGCGTCCCTGTTGTCTTCTCACCCGGCACAGTTGCCTCCCCCTCGGTTTTCTGACACATTCAGGATGCGGTTGTCACACTGTGAATCTCGCACAGTAATACACAGCCATGTCCTCAGTGCTCAACGTGCTCAGTTCCATGTAAGCTGTGTCCTTGGACGTGTCTAGAGTGAAGGTGACTTTGCCCTGGAACTTCGGTGTGTAGCTTGGAGCACCAGTGTTAGTGTTTATCCATCCCATCCACTCAAGCCCTTGTCCCGGGACCTGCTGTACCCAGTTTATCCCATATTCGGTGAAGGTGTATCCGGACGCCTTGCAGGAGATCTTCACTGATGTCCCAGGTTTTCCCACCTCAGGCCCCGACTGCACCAGCTGCACCTGGGAGTTCACACCTGTGGACAGCAGACAGGAGTGGGGGAGACTCCACTTGACTGGCCCCATTCCCTCAGCCCAAGGAACGGGGACGCTTACCTGAAGCCACTGCCACCAGGAAGAGAATTCTCAAGGTCCAGTCCATGGTGAGGACCATGCACTCAGGGTTTTCTGAAGGTGTGGGTGTGTCTGTTGGGTGATATTTTCAGGTCACAGATACATTTGTATTTAACTCAGTGTCCCTCGTGTAATTTGCATATTCATGAGGAAGGAGAATTCATAGCTGAAGACCTGGTCCATCCTCAGAAGGGGCTGGTGGAAGCCACCGGGTCCATCCTCAAGGGGAGTGAAGAGATCCACGTTCTGATCCTTGTTTGAGAAGGTGAGACCCTGTCCTGTCCCAGGACTGTGTGCCACAGAGTTCCCCCTCCCGAGGGCCAAGCCCTTTCAGGACCTTCCCCCTCAGGGCCCCCCACATCTGTATGGCCTGAACACATTTGGACACACCTGGACTTTGAGGTTATTTCTAGGATACTAGGAATCCCCAAGGGGTACTACAATGAGACTGCAAAACCATCCTAATGCCCCAGTGTTTTCCATTGGGGATTTTAAGAAGTTCAGATACACCCCCTGCATATGGGTTTTACTGCCTTATCAATATGATAAATGTTCCTCCCAAAACGTTTAAGTATGTACAATTTAACCTTCTGTGTCATATACTTATTTTTGTTTTGGTTTTCTCAACAAAGCAAAATTTAGTTTTCTGGGTTTTTAATAAAGTTATTATTCTTTTTTTCTTATTAAATCTCTGTGAGATAGACCCTTCCAAAGCTGTTTGTTATTTTATTTCAGTCATTAAGTATTCCTGTTTTTGAAGAGAAACCCTTTCCATCTCAGCACCCCTTCAGGCCTGCAACTCTGTGCTCTTGGGACTTGGCGCCCCCTGCAGCCTGACCTCCACTCTGCAGAGCCTCTGGGCTCTCGGGGCATTAACCTCTAGGCATCTCTAACACAGGATTGAATCCTGGGACTTCACTTCAGAAGCATTGATCACGAGTCATCTTCTTTTCTGGAACTTTTGTTCTGGTTTTGAGCACACCTGGCGGTTCTGAGGGCATACTTCCGGTTCTGTGCTCTGGAATTGCTCGGGTAGATGCATCCTAGGTAAATATTGGCAAATCAAGTAGTTATATATCTAAAAATTGAAAGGTGACACTGAGTGTTCTCAGCTCAGATTATGAAAAAGTAATACATAAACACTTAATTAAATCAAATAAAAAAAGTAAAAAGTACAAAATTAAAAGGGGATTTAAGTCTTTAAGAAAATACTTTAATATAAACAAAACTATATTAAATTTGTTAAATTTATGAAGACTTTCAAAACCCAGGCATAAGTCGAACACAGCTGCCAAAAGTTTATTATATTACTGTATTAATAGGACAAATATAAGTAAATAAATGAATCACTTGATCACTTGACTTCCCGTTAATCATCAATTTGCTCGAGCAGGTGCCAGTAATGACTCCATTTGTCCCTGTCGCTTGCTAGTGTAGCCCAATGGCGTCTGTTCGTTCTAGGAACACGAAGAGCCTCAAACCGATCGTTCAGGGTCTTGACGAAGAAGTATGACCATCTGGTAGCTGAGCAACCATGAGGTTTTTTGATGTCCCATGGAATCCAGTCAGTAATGACCCTAGTCAAGCAATCATCTCTGAATCTCATTATGTGTCCAGCCCATCTGATTTTCGATGCCTTGGCAAATGAGACAGCATCCCTGATTCTTGACCATATTTTATTTTATTGAACATATGACTTGAACTCTGACTTTGTCAGTGAAACACAATAGTATTCTTTAAAGAAATTTACTTTGAGTAGACTATAGACTGAACTCAGTGCCTCTTCTGAAAACCCCAAAGGAGAGAAATAACAAAAGGGAATGCCCTGCCACAGGGGTGGGGTGTGATGTAGGGGTGGAGGGTGAGAGGGATGCTGGGAGCATTGGAGGTGGGGAATGGGCACTGGTGGAGAGATGGGTAGTCAATCATTGTATAACTGAAACCCAAGCACAAAAATTTGTAAGTCTGCAACTGTACCTCATGGTGTTTCACTAATAAAAATTTTTTTAAAAGGTAAAGGTAAAGGTAAAGGCCCTCCCGTTGTTCATCAATTTGCTCGAGCGGGCCCAGTAACGTCTCCATTGGAGACTTTGTTGTTACTGTGTTTGGCATATCGAATATGTCACAGGGAGCTTGCCAGGCTCTGCCGTGTGGGCGAGATACTCTCGGTAGCTTGCCGAGCTCTCCGAGAGGGGCGGAGGAATCGAACTCGGGTCAAATAAATAAAAATAAAAAATAAAGAAATTTGCTTTTATATATGCAAGGAGAGAGAGAAAGGGAGAGAGACACAGAGGACACAGGATTGACAAAGACAACCCAAACACAGAATTTTGTCATCATTACATGAGTCATCCTTCTCCTTTATTGATCCCTTGAATCCTATACAGGTTCTCTCTCTCTCTCTCTCTCTCTCTCTCTCTCTCTCTCTCTCTCTCTCGCTAGCTCGCTCTCGCTCTCTCTCTATCTCTCCTTTCTCTCTCATTTTTCTCTCACACACTTTCTGGGTCTATGGATTGCAAAACAGACACTGAAAGGTTATGTATATCACTTTTCCTACTTTCAAACCTCAGTTCTTGTTCAGAGTGACCATATATAACTCTTCCTGTCATACTGGTACTTCTCTGTCCTTAGTCTCTCACAAACTTGGAGCAAGCTTCAAACCATTGACCTGTCCTTTTGGTACCTGTGTTTCCTGGGATAGAATATTAATCTCATGCAAAAGTTTAAATGCCACAGAAGACAATTATTCTATATCTATGCCTCTCCTTCTGACTCATTTCACTCAGCCTGATCCTCTCCATGTCCATGTATTTATAAGTGAATTTCATGATTTATTTTTTTCTGGTGGCCGCATAGTATTCCTTTGTGTTGATATACTATATTTCTTTTTTTTATAATTTATTTATTTATTGAATCACTGTGGGAAAAGTTACAGAGCTTTCAGGTTTAGGTCTCAGTCATGCAAATATCAAACACATTTCCCTTTACCAATACTTATTTTTTACCACGAACCCCAATAGAACCCCACCTCCCACCCCTCCCAATTCCTGTGAGGCAGATGAGTTCTAGTTAACACTCTATCTACTGTTGGAGTACACGGAGCTTAGGTTTATTAGGTTGCACCCATCACAGTGCTCCGGAGTCACTCCCATTACTTTGTCTGTAACCACTTCTATGCTATTTTCCCCAACCAATTTGTAAGGTCTCATCCTGCTTAGACAATGAAGCTGTACTGTGAGTAAATATTGCCTTTCTCCTCTCCTTATGTCTTGAGCAGTTTACCTTAATGCAATGTCCTTTTGTATAGATACAGGAAGACAATTAATTAATATTATGCTTTATAACTTAGGATTTAATTGGCTTTGAATATTATTCACTCCTGGGCATCTGCCTTCTCAACTTAAGCCTCAGTTACCCTCACTTCCTAGCACCCCAAGGGCAGGGTCCCGACGTGGGACTGGATGGAACCAGGGCAAGCTGGTAAGTTATGTGCTACTGTGGCATCGCGATGGGCCAGGCCAAGGTGCCACGCTTCTTAACTATAAGTTAAGAGGTTGATCATAGGCAAATGATGTCATGATCCAAAAGTAACGATGAGACTAGGGCCCTGCTGCTAGGAATAGGAAAGATATCTGGCCTGAGCACTGCAGTCTGAGATCGAGATGGCCCTACGAGAGCAATTCTATAAGCTCAAAGTATTTTCTTACTGTGTCCATACAAAATGATTAATATTATGTATGCTTATATGTTGGTTGGACAAGGAGAGGAGAAACACGTCCTAGAAGCAGTTTTCCTTTGTGTCCTGACTAGCTTGGATGAGACTGAACTTTCTCCCCTTCAAACTGCCTTCAGTAAATGATTTCAGTATATTGAGGCAGTTTCTCTTATCTCACAGGAACCTAGCTGGCCTTAAGTATGCAGATCCCAGGTGCTAAGCCAGGCCTGATCTTTGGGATGTAGATGCCTGGCTCCAGGCAGACTGATGTAGATTCCAAGCTCTAGGGGACTGGTCTTTGTTGTGCTAATCCAAGCTCTTCTAAAAGGTGAGGCCAGGTTTACTGGCCTGCTGATGTAAAGAAACAATGTATGTTTTGCCTCCTCAATGTTCTTTCTGTAACTCCTTTTGATGACATCACTATATTGTGCCCTTTAGAGGTACAATGATCTATATAAGGGAGATTTCAGGGCTCTTAGCGGGGACACTTGCATCAGAGAACCTGAGAAGATGGGGCTGAGGACAGAAGCTGAGAGAACAAAGGTGCACATGCTTGAGGATTCCTGAGGCCTCCATGACATACATCTCTTCCATGAAATAAATCGCTGCTAAGACCAACCAGCTTGGCCTCGTTTCCTTCCTTCACCCGACCATCGCCATTGACCTCCGTGGAGTGGGGAAATGGCCTGACCGCCGGCCTTTTTATTTTTTGTGTGTTTACACAATATACTTTGACTAGATTCATTGTTTCGATAAAAGATGCACCATTATTATTTAGAGTTTACCCTCCCCCCAATCAGACATGCTGAGAAAGCGTTGTGAAATGATTTGCTTTCTACAGCTGGGTTCAAGAATTAAATGTTGTCGCGCGGCCGCAATAACGGTTTTGGATTTCTGCTATTTTACTTATTAACCCTGGAAGTATTTCTACTAAAAGTCAGATAATTAAAAGATTGGTTTCTGTGCTCTGGATTTGTGGCCGTGCCAGGGAGCCGCTCGTGGGGGCAACTGGTGACCTCAGTAGGACATGAAGGACGGACAGGAACGCCCCCCTTCCCATCAGGTTTTTGTCGCCCCCGACCCCCGGCTCATACCTGCTGTCCACAAGGCTCCCATGCAGCCGCCATCTTTCTTTCCAGATAGGAGAGGGCGAATGGAGCAACACCCTTTCCCCTCTGGGCAGGCATGATGGTGCGGATTAACGCATAGTCTGTTCGCTTTTCTGCTCCAAGCTGCTGGTTTTCAGCATTAAGTCCTTCTGCTTCTGGGGCCGTGGCCGTGCTGGAGAGCCGCTTGGTGGGGGGGCCGATATA